GCCAGAAACCTCATGTTTGAACTCTTACCTTTCCCTGTTGGCCCAGTGTGATTGTACAGTGAATGTGCACCAACACGTCACTGAGAGATGGGATCGCACTTTAACTTGGAGCTCACAGAAATGAGGGGCTTCTGATCATTCTCTAGCTGCAGACAAGGTCCTGTGCAGTCTTTCCTGACATGGTGTAGCTTTACCAAACCAGTTCAGTCTTGGCCTGCACCACTCCAGCTGTTCTTGTCCTGGACTCTTCCTCATCAGAAATCGTGGCTGGGGGATCTATTGTTCCTTATAGATGACAATGAGACCACCCACTTCAGAGCTTGATTTGGTCCCAGGTTCTGGAGTGAGCAGGTCAGTTTATTCCCTGAGACAACTAGTTCCTTGCACATCAGCAACTTCCTTCCACAAAAGCTTCTGGCACCCTGTAATTATCCTTCTGATACTGGGAGATCCACAAATCTGTGTCTGAAACACCCTCTCCCCTCACTAGAAATCTTGAAATTCTGCTTTGGTCACTTGTGCCTGCTCAAATAGCATCCATCGTAGGCTTCATTCTCTGCCCCGTGATTTAAGGTGGATAAGGCAGTTTGAGAATGGGACACATGAATATCTGATGTCCCATTTTCCAGTTTGCATGAGTCTTTCTTGAGCAAAGCAGCATGAATCACCCAGCCAGCAGCACCAGAGCAAAAGCATCCCCTAGTAGAGTGGCTGATGAGCTCCCTGTATCTAGGAACAAGCAGAGATAAATCTGATTCTCTAATGACAGCATTTCTCCTTTTCCCTAACCAACCAGTGAACCCAGAGGATGCCAGAAAGATGCGAGAAACAGGCCTGCACCTTATGCGCCGCATGCTTGCTGTGCTGCAGATATTCGCTGTCAGTCAGTTTGGCTGTGCTACTGGTCAGATCCCCCGCACCCTCTGGCAGAAGGACCAGGCCAATAAGGACTATTCTCCCTTAATTAAGAAACTGGAACTGTCTGTAGACCAAGTGAGGCAGCTGGCACTGAAGCACCAGCACCAGGATCACGTGCTCAGCTACTCCGGCATGCAGGATGTCTCCTTAGGAGCGAGAGATGAGCTGACTTTGGCGGTGCGGAAGGAGCTGACCGTTGCTGTACGAGACCTGATGGCTCATGGGCTCTATGCCTCGTCTCAAGGGATGAGCTTGGTGTTGGCACCCATTGCATGCCTGATTCCTGCATTTACCTCGTCGCCACAGACCATGCACCCCTGGGAACTCTTTGTGAAGTATTACAACACCAAGAACGGCCGTGCCTTCGTGGAGTCCCCAGCGCGCAAGCTCTCCCAGTCTTTTGCCCTTCCCGTGACGGGGGGCATCACTGTTACCCCCAAGCAGAGCCTGTTGACGGCTATTCACACTGTCCTCACAGAGCATGATCCATTCAAGCGCAGTGCAGACTCTGAACTGAAAGCCCTGGTGTGCATGGCATTAAATGAACAGCGTCTGGTCTCCTGGGTGAATCTGATCTGCAAATCTGGGGCTCTGGTACAGTCTCACTATCAGCCCTGGAGCTACATGGCCAACACAGGCTTTGAGAGTGCACTCAACATTCTCAGCCGCCTGAGCAACTTAAAGTTCAACCTTCCTGTTGACCTGGCTGTCCGGCAGCTGAAAAACATCAGAGATGCTTTTTGATGTGTCCTTTCCAGATCAGCCCCCTTTCCCCAGAAGGAATGTATTAACGTCCTAGCTTAGAGCAGGAGCATTGTTTATGACCAAACTTGTCCCCTTTGAAGCTGATTGTGGCTATTAGGGTAGCAGGTTAGTGTCTTGACACTGGAAGCCTCCCTTCCAAGACTGCCTGTGAGGAAATGCTGCCGATGTTTGGGCTGTGCGCTATCTCACCCAGACCTATGCTAATGCAGCTATCAACAGAGCTGCGGCACCCCATCGGTTGGTGCCTTGCCTCTGTCACATGCATTAGGAGTGAACCACTGTCTGAAATGCAATAAAAAGGGCCTGGTTTTACAGCCAGTGCATCGGAGCAGCTCCTCTGGAGTTCAGTGGCAGCGGCTCCTATGCTGTGGCTGCATGGTCAGCCCCCAGAATTTTTAGTCTAAAAGATGTCACTTGTGGCATTTTGCTGTTTCACACAGAGCTGTGTGAGGCTTTTTGACAGATACATCTTCTGCTGCTTAGGCTTGATGTAACATGCCCAGTGGCGGAGTCCGACATCCCCTCTCCCACGTTTATGTAGATTTTGAATATACAGGAGGCTGGGAACAGTTTCTGCTCTGAGCTATAGGTGCCTATTGGTTTGCATCTTGAAGGATTAGTGGCTGCAGAGATCCAGACATCGACAGATTCTTTGGACTATGTGGTGACAGGTGACTGGATTGAGCATTCAGGTGCATTGTGTAAGACTCTCAGCTCCCTCGTGGAGTTTTGGTCAAAGCCCTGAACACTATCAGGCCAGGGTTTTATTGCAGATGCATTGGTTTAACAACTGTAAACAAATATCCCTTTTCCAGTTACTGTGTTTAACTTGAGTTAATTATTAGCCCCTGTGCTGCAAGAACAGTTGGTCATATGGCTCCTTGTAGAAAATACAGATGTCTAATATTCTCGTGTAATTCCTAAAAGCACTTCTGTGGTCAGTATCTCTCGGCCAGCAACTTTCTGCATCGAGTGTATTTAATGATTGTGTAATTGAGCACTTTCTGCTGGTCTGAGGGCAAAACTTCCTGCCCTGGTTACAGGTAGGTCTGCAGTCAAATCAGTCAGCGCTGTTGAAGTAGTAATCAATCCACATGGCATTTAGGCTGCATGAGAAAAATCACTTCTGGCATCAAAAGAGAACTGAGGGTTTGACTGGAATAGAGCTGAGGAGAGTGGTCTCCTTTGTACGTGCATCAGTGATGCCCTGAGTGGCAGGTAATGGATTTATATTGGAAACAGTAGTGCCTCAGTCCGGCATCCTGTTCCCTTCAGCTTCCTGGCAATACAGCAACATCCTAGTCTCAGGCACGTGGGGGATGGGTTGGGAGTGTCCACTCTAATTGTACATTTAGTAGCTAGAAATGGGGCTGTCATGGTAGTTTTTTTTGTTCCCAGTTTCCCCACTGTTCATAGTAGCTCCCTTTTGAAGCTTGAAAAGGAATGTTCCCTTACTGCCAGTTCCTCTCAGTTGCACGCACAGTTTGGTGCAGTAGGGTTGTTGGTTTCATCTTATTTCTGTCTAAAAAGCATTGAAGCTATTCTTTGGGAAAACATCTAGAATTTCATAGACTGACACCACAGATTTTGGACATTGAGCACTGGGGCCCATCTGCTCTCACTGAAGTCAGTGACAAAGCTGCCACTAACTTCAGAGAGACCAGAATCTGTGTTGCCCCCACCGACCCCCCCCCCTCACCCCTTAACGGTATTCCTAAAATTATTTGTGTGTTTGGAGCAGAGTGACATTTATAGAACACTGTAAGGAGGGTTAGTTTTTTGATGAAGAATTAGTGGTTAGTAACACATTCCTCCACATGTTTTTAATGCAGAAATAGTTTACTGAAATATAATGAAAACCAGCAGCAGTGACTCTTACATATGTGGAAACTGTTTTCATGTTGTACCCTTCAGATAGGAAACTGTTTATGTATTTTCAGAGGCTTGTCTAAGGGTGAAAAATTCCAAGCTGATTTATCCAGATAAACTTCTTGTCTTCCTGGACAGCAAATTATAGAATTACCAATGACCAACCACATTAAGATTAGCTGGAGAGGCAAGATTTAATTCAAGAATCATTTCCATGGACCATTCCCCATTCTGGTTTGGCTATTTTTTGTCTGAAATCTGCATGTTTTTGTCAGATCTGTGGCAGTTACAAATAAGTTGACAGTTGACGTGTCTGATTGCTGGAAAGGCTTTTCAGGGGCCCCAAATGGTTCCATAAAGCATCTTGTCTTCAGGTTTTTTTAATTCTTAACTCCCTTTTGTGTTTACAGTGCTATGCTGGAGCAGTTTGTTGTACCCTAGTTGTTCAGATATCTGCTTTATTTTATTTCTGATGTTGATTTTGTTCTGTTTTTAGGTCTGTGCATATGTGCAATAGGATGAATGTATTTGTGTTGTGGAGAGTACAATATCTACTGCTGATAATAAAAGTCATGGTGGTTTGTGTATGTTGTGTTACCTACTTGTACATTAATAGATAAACTGTTAACGCACCCTCTCCTTCTTCTAGACTTCGAATCTTCAGTTCATACCTATAGCCGTTACCTTTATAGCTTGCATGCTGCACCATTAGTTAGGAACAGAACAGAATAGGTTAGATCAGGGGTCGGCAACGTTTGGCACGCGGCTCGCCAGGGTGCTAAATGTTGCCGACCCCTGGGTTAGATCATTGGTAACTAAAAACTGGAGTCAGCAAGGACACAAATGGGCACCAACAGGGTCAGATGATGTCTTAATAGGAAAAAACAAAACTTCTGGAAGATCAAGTTGCACCCATTTCCCATATGGGCTGTGGGTGGTGAGGAAGAGGCTACCTTGGCCTTGAGGGCTGGATGTGAAAGGATGGTCAATTTTAAAATTTGGATGGCTGTCTGGAGTAATGCCTCTGCTGACAAACGGAAAAAACGTGGAGGGGGGAGAATACTACTTTTCCATTTTGTGTAGGTGAGGGGCAGGGAGCTGCACGTGAAATGTTGGTCTGTCAGGCTCCCTGGTTTGGTTCCTGGTGGTGGTGGTGGGGTTTTACACGACTGCAGGGGGGAGATACACGCCTTCAAAAAGGAGATTTTGAGTGGCAGGCTCCGCCCAGTGGCCAAGGGGCTGGGGGCAGCTGTAGGGCCGCGCCCCGCTCTAAGCGCCCTGCAATGTGCACGGGGGGGTTGCGGTGCTGCCCCCTCCAGCCAGGGAGCCAGGCCGCGCCGTGCTCGGCGCTGTATCCTCTGCACCGCGCACGCTCCCCGCCGCTCTGGGAAGGAGCGCTGAGCTCGCGCGCCCAGGCCCGGCCCGGCCAAGGGAGGGGGCGCTGGGCCGCTTCCACCCCCATCCCGCGCGTGCGCCGTCGCCCTGTGCGGGAGGAAGCGGAAGTCAGGTGACCGGCATGGCGGGGTGAAAGGTCGGCGAAGCGGTCGCTCCTTCCTTTTCCGGTTTGGGCGCCATCGCAGCCGGAGCCTCGGTGAGTCCGGGGGGGGGGGAATCGTATCGGCCGCCATCCGCGGGGCGGCGGGGCCTGGCGGGGGGCGCTTGGCGCGGGGGGGGCGCGGGGCCGGGGGCTGTTTCTGCCGGGGCCCTCGGGGCCGGGGCCGGGGCGACCCTCGGGGCGGCTGCCGGGCTGGTAACGCGTCTTGTCTCCTGGCAGCGATGGGGAAGTTCATGAAGCCCGGGAAGGTGGTGCTCGTCCTGGCGGGGCGCTACTCGGGGCGCAAGGCGGTCATCGTGAAGGTGAGTCCCGCCTCGAGGGCCTTGGCCCCGGCCCCGAGCTCCGCGTACGGCCTGCAAGAGCCGGGCAGTTGCCTTGCCCAGTGGCGGCCCCGCCCCAGCCCGCCCGGGTGCGAGCGCCGCCCGCGTGGTGGGCTCCCTCTGGGGTAGGCGAGGGAAGGCGCCGCCTACGGATCGGGGGGTTCGCGAACGATTCGCTCCCCTCCCTTGGGTGCCATGTAAACATGGGTCACGCTTGGAGCCTGTCTGTGCCCTCGCGGTCTAGCCAGAGGCCTGTTCTGAGCGGGAGATTGGGATTTATGGTGTGGTGTGCTTAATCCCCGTGTGCTTTAAATCCACCCTAGTTCCTGTGTGTGCTCAGTGAGGGTCGGTTCAGGTTTGCTGAGTGGGTCACAGAGAGGCCAGTGCACAGACATTCATGCTGTGCCAGGATGCGAAGCATTGTCTAGTGGTTAGGCACTAATCTAGGATTTGGGAGACCCAGGCCCGATTTGCTCCCGTGGCGCAGATTTGCTTTTGGACCTTGGACGAGTCACTGAATCCCTCTGGGTGCAGCTGGTGGTGTGATTCCCGGCAGGGATAAACCGGCTCACGTTAGCCGCCTGAGCCGCAGCCTATGCAGCTATGTCCACACTGTTACCTGCAAAAAGAACAGGAGTACTTGTGGCACCTTAGAGACTAACAAATCTAATAAATTTGTTAGTCTCTAAGGTGCCACAAGTACTCCTGTTCTTTTTGCCGATACAGACTAACACGGCTGCTACTCTGAAAACTGTTACCTTCAGCGCACTCGCTTGAGCAGAGCTAGCATGTGTCTGTCTACCTGTGCTGAGAATCCAATCCACCAGGAGCCATGCAGGGATAACCTCCGTGCCTCAGTTTCTCACCTGTAAATGGGTATAATAGCACTGCTACCTCACAGGGGGATTGTGAGGATAAATACATAAAAGACTGTGAGGCACTCAGATTTTACAGTGACAAGGGCTGGATAAGCACGTAAGGTACTTAGACATCTGCTTTCTCTGTGTTACCTAGGAGCATCTGGAAACCTGTCATCCATATGCTGCTTGTCGGGCTGAGAACGGAGGTGCCTAGAAACGTTAACTCCTAGAGCTAGATAGTTTGAGGTGGTTGTGTATATCCTGTGGTTATTCATGGGAGTTGCACACCTGCGGAAGAGATGCCTCTAAAAATTCCATGGAATATAGCGTGAGCATTCTGGGGGCTTCCCTTAGTGCTGCTTTTTGTGGCATGTGGGCTTTAGATCCGCTCACGTAGCAGAGGATTTTCTTTTGGGTTCTGTGCACCCTGCCATTTGGCTCTCTCTCCAATGCCTTAAATTCATTAGGCTATAGCAGTTTTTCTGTTCAAAAGGTAGAAGAATCTGTGGTGACCTCCCAGAATCCGGTTTCTGTGCATTGCTAATAGGTCTCCTGTGTGTTTCAGAACATTGATGATGGCACCTCGGACCGACCGTATAGCCACGCCCTGGTGGCTGGTATCGATCGGTACCCACGGAAGGTAACTGCTGCAATGGGCAAAAAGAAGATAGCGAAGAGGTCCAAGATCAAATCTTTTGTGAAGGTTTATAACTACAACCATCTAATGCCCACCAGGTGAGCAGGCTTGGGGCTCACTGAAGTGCTGCTAATAGAACTAGTAAACTACTTTAGTTTCCTTCAACATGGCAAAAGCAGATTTTCTCTTTGGTAGAGCCTAGAAACCTGCTTCTCTGAGATTTCCTCAGTTATGTCCTTATGCAGCTCAATGAATAGATTTGCAGGATGCTGACTTGGGTGGCCAGTGATAATTATCTTGGAGGAGTCAAAAGTTGAGGTGGGACATTCATGATCTTCCCCATCCCTTTATCATGGGGATTCAGGCTGACACTCTCGCTGTGGGAGAGGTCGGTGGACAAATTCAATTGTCCACAAATGCATCTCTTGTGGCATTGGCCATTATTTAGGCCTTTCATTTTTTTTCCCCCCCTTTGGCTGGAGACACAGTCTTCCTCCTGTGAGCTCTGAAGAGGATTTGTAGTAATGATCTGGATCTCCTTGGTAAGGGGCTTGGAGATCTACTGATGGACAGTGCAAGACAAAGAGCTGAGTATTGGGGATTGTAGCCGAACCAGCGTTTCATGATACTGTCACTGGCCTTCCCTTCCCCACTTCTAGTGTTGTGTGCTGCTGAGTGCACACTGAGGGCAAAGCAAGGCTGCTTGGCACCTCTCACACCATCTACTGGCTCAGAGTGCTTGAGGACTCCCGGGTCACTAGGGGTGCTGGCCTGAGTCTGTCTTTTAGGTATGTTTTAACGGCCACCATTCTGTGGGTTGGCAGGAGAAGTGCACTGTCTAGCCAGACTCAGGCTAGCTATCTAGCATCCTGGCATGTGGGTGTTTCAAAGCCTGCTGTTCCCCCTCTCTCAGGTATTCCGTTGATATTCCTCTGGACAAAACCGTTGTCAATAAAGATGTGTTCAGGGACCCTGCACTGAAACGCAAGGCAAGGCGCGAAGCCAAGGTGAAATTTGAGGAAAGGTGAGTTGGAAACTTTTCTCCCTCCCCCAGCTGCTTGTTACATTTTTAACTCCTTCATTGAACTGTAGGAATCGGTTTATACTTTAGTTTGAGTCATTGAAACCTGCAACCCAGCCCCCAGCTTGTTCTCGCTCTCCAGTGAAGTGTGTCCAGCCTGACAGCTATTGGCTGGGAGACCCCAAGAAACAGCGGGTTCCTATAGCACTGATGTCCTGGCATGCTCCTGAATGGGGTTGTGCTGGCCCTGCAGTGACAGTAACTGGGGGTCTGGCTGCCTGAGGATGTTAAGATCCTTTGCATTAACTGTAAATTAACACCAGGCCTCATCCTAAGTTAATATTTACATACTTCCCTCCTTCACATAAAGTGCTCCTACCTTTTCAGCTGGATACGTATAGTTTTTCACTTCCTGTCCTTCAGTGTGCACTCTTCCACCCCCAAGGAGGTTGCATGCTAGTGGTGGGGGCAGGATTCTTGCAAAGCAATGTGTTATGTTAACAAGATTTAATCCTGCACTTGCACAAGCACCTGTGAACATACTGCAGGGAGCAACCTTGGGGGGGCGGAAGAAAGGGAAGGAGTAGGAGCAGCGAGGACCTTAAAGGGGCTGTTTCCTAATTTTGGTCTCCTGACATCCTGTTCCTTAGTTACCTGTTAGGTGCATGTCACTGGATTCCCTTCCCTATGTGCATGACTCCAGCTTGGCAATCCGTGCTTGAGGCTGATTGATTTGCCTTCTCAGTGGCCTGTTTCAGAGCCTCCCCTTCAAAGGAAGGAATTCCGACTAGCATCCCCCTCAGCAAGAGGCAAACCTCTTTCCTTGGCCTGCCTGCAGAGGGACTATTGGCTTCTACAGCCATCCTCACCGCCTTGGCTCCTGTGTTAGCAGCAGGCTTATGCGGCTGTATCTGTCCTGGCTTGGGGCTGTGCAGATGGCATTGTTGACTTTGAAGTTGTGAAATACCTAGTGGGAACGGTCAGTCCTGCAACTGCCAAGAGTTGCTGCCCTTGTCCCCTGTCGTCGTGCTGACTATAAAGGTTAACGAGGAAATTGTAGGCCTCATTTAACTTGGTTTGGGGCACAGCTCTCCATGCTGCACTAACCAAACAGCCAGAGAAGCTAGTTCTGTCCCGGCAGATGCTGTTTTACGTTCGGGGTTATTCCCCTCCAGGTGAGGCACTGGCCCAGGATTTGGTGCGGGGGTGTGTGGCATTTTTCCTTTGCTTTCCTCTCTCCAAAGGCCTGTCATGCCTACTAGCGGGCTCGCCCCAGCTTCCTGTAGCGCTTCTGATGAGGCTCGTTCGGGACACTGGTGCCAAGCGTTCCCTAACGTGTGGATTGTGCCTTTCTTTCAGATACAAGACTGGCAAGAATAAGTGGTTTTTCCAGAAGCTGCGATTCTAAACTTGTAACATGGCTGCATCAATAAATGTGTATTCAAAACCGTTTTGTTGCCCTGTAAAATGTTCCCTGGTGCGAAGCATCTGGCTTTGCAGTGTAAACATCACTTGCTCTGTGCTTCGATGAGATGACTTGCAGGGGTAATTACAGTCCAAGCCAGAAGACTTAAATTAATTACTAACCGAGCTGGCTTTGGAGAACTGCCCTCCGAGTCGGCTCCGAATCTGATGCCTTCCCCACACAGTGTTGAGAGCAGATGACAAAGCTGCTCCACCTTTCCAGCAATGGAGGCAGGGTAGTCGAAAGTGCTCTGAATGTGAATTCAGGTCACTCATGGGGAGGGAAATGATTCGGGGTCCTGCTATTCCAGCTGGCTTTGGTTCTTTGGCTAAGAAATGGGAGTGATACGTTCAGTGTGTGTGGTGGTGGGTGGGGGGGGGGGTCATTTTTTTTTCCAGTTGCCTTTGCCGAGTATTGGTCTTTATGTGACAAGTGGCAACTTTGTCTGATTCAAAGAGTCTCCAACTGCATCACTGGCCTTTGGGAGCAGAAGCGAAATGAAGGTGGGCTGAGCTCAGCAGCAGGGAGAGGTAATTTAGAGGGTTTATTGTGCAAAAATTGTGACATTGCTTCAACAAAAAGGTTTCATGAGCACCTGGCTGATGACTTATTCGAGGGGCCTTCGGGAAAGTCAAGATCAGGAACTGAAGAGTTGGAGACAAATAAGCTTCTGGTCTCCCCCACAGCGACTCAGGGTCCCTATACACGGCATGAGGTTAGATGGGGAGATTCGGCCCTTGCCAGGATCCCACTGCTGGGAAGGGAGGATCATTTCGCTGAGAGATTCTCTTCGCTCCCTGAATCACAAAGCTTTGCCTTGTCCTAGTTTCTTTTGTCTCTTTCTCTCCCCCCGCCCCCCCCCCAAAGTGTCAGTGTGACTGTACGGGCCTGCACACCGCTGCTGGCTAAATGACACCATCCATCAGAGTTTGCTGCTGCCGTTACCCTGTTCCTTGCCAAGGGCAGCATCTGGCCCCAGGACCGAACTGAACGTCCAGGGGTGTCTGTTACTCTTGGGCCTTGTTTGCACGGGGGGCGGGGGTAGCACTGATTAAATCCGCTTTACCCCTGTGTGGACGCATTCGCAGCGGATAGGGTGACCAGAGAGCAAGTATGAAAAACTGGGACAGAGGGTGGGGGGGTAAGAGGCACCTGTATAAGAAAAATCCCCAAATAGGGGGACTGTCCCTATAAAATCGGGACGTGGTCTCCCTAGCTGCGGAATCGGTGCCTTGGTCCCCTGCAGACCGGCCCTGGGGCGGTCCCTGGTGGGGCCGCGGGTCTCCTCGCCCTGGGGCCCTGGGGCACCGGGCTCTGCCTCTGGCCGAGGCTGCGGGGCTGGGCTGCTCGCAGGCGGCTCGGCGGGGCGGGGCATGGGCCGGCCGGGAAACGAAAGTGAAAGGGGCCGGAGTCAGGCAGGAAGCGCCAACGCCGCTGCTGGATGATGGGGCGGTGAGAGGGGCTGCAAATTCCGCATGGGGGGGCGCCCTGCTCTGAGCCCCCGGGGTGCTGGGGGGGCGGTCCCTGCCCCGGGGTGTGTGGGGCCCATTGCATGCCCTGGGTCCGCTAGGGTGTTAGGGGCTTGTACAGTCCACCCCCTTTTTAGAGGGTCTCCCAGTGTTCTCCCCACTCGGGGGGGGGGGGGGCTCTGTGCCCCCTCCCTGGGGTCTGGCAGAGCCCCACCCTCATTGTTTCCAGCCCAGGTGCCCCAGGGGCGCTGCCTCCCCAAGTCCCTGTGTGGGGTGACCAGGGGAGCCCCTTTGTGCTCCGTTCCAGGGATTCCCTCCCACCCTGGGGTGTTGCAGTCCTGGGGACCGGGCACCAGCCCCACGGGAACAGGGCCCATTTGCCCCCCATCTGGGAACTGGTCCCAGCCTGACATTTGGGAGCCAACCCTCCCTTTAGACTGTGTCTCCTGTCGCTCCCTGGGGTTTCTGGGCACCTGCAGGTGAAGGGCAGGGCCAGTCCTGAAGGGGGGGGGGGCGCAATCAGATCAGAGTGACCTGCGGTGAACATGGGGTGAGCGCTCATCTGTCACCCCAAGCCTCCTCACCCCCCTGAGCCTGGAGAAATGCTCCACGCTCCAGTGACGGGCGAGTCAGGAAGGCCCAGGTCCAGGAGACCGGTGTATGCTTGGCAGTCTATGCTCCCCCGCGTGACGCGCCCCTATCACTGGAGAGCCAATGCTCAGCATGGTGCTGATGGGGGAGATTCGGGGAGGGGGGGTTGATTTTGGTGCCAGATTCTGATACTTTGGTGCTTTCTCTCCCCAGGTGTGAGTGACACAATGACAGATTCAGAAGAGGTAACTGGGCACCAGGCGAGTCAGTCCCTGTCCTGGGCTTTTGAAAGCCAAAGTGGAAATTAACGTTTCCCGGGAGGGCACCAGGAGGTTGTTTGTTTGAGGCCTGGTCTTCACTAGGAAATTAGGGTTGTATAACTCCGTCGCTCAGGGGTGTGAAAAATCCAACCTCCCCCCCCCCCGAGAGACGCAGCTCACCCAACCTAACCCTGGTGTAGACAGCGCTCTCCCGTCGACTGGCCGCCTCTCTGAGGTGCATTACCCCTCCCGTCCACGTGGGCAGCGTCTTCACTGAAGTGCTACAGCAGCCCAGCTGCAGCGCTTTGAGTCTAGATGAGCCCTGAGCGCGGGAGCTGGACACCACACCGGGCAAAGGAACAGCCTGAGTCCAGCAGGAAAGTTTCTTCCCCACCCCCATGTGGATTCTGGCTCCACCCCCACCCCTCTGGCTCCACCCACATTGAATGCTGACCCCTGTGCTGGTGGAGCTAGAGAGCTCATGTGCAGATGGTGACTGGTATAGCCCATGGCACGGGCTGCCCCGTGATACAGCGTGTGGGCTCTGGGGTCACTCACCTCTCTTGGCTTTTAGGAGTCTTTTGTCCGTCTGCCTGATGAGCTCACACTGGAGAACAGCTCCCCCGAGATGACACCCGAACGCCTGCAGCAGGAGATTGAGAAATACAAGGTGGGTCCCTGCCAGGCACTGCAGGTTGGGCACGTGAGCCGATGGCGGGATGGGGCAGGAGCTGCGAATGCGCCTACCAGCTGCAGTTCCCTCCGCAGTGTGCGGTTAATAGAGGCCCAGCCCGAGACGATTCTGGGCTGATAGTGCCTGGGTGTAGCCTTGCAGAGCAGCCCCGGGGAGCCTGACGTTCCCTTCGGTGTCTCTCCCAGGAACGCTGTCAGGCGCTGGAACAAGACCGGCTAGAGCTGGGGATGGCGAAGGAAGCCGCTGAGCAGAGGACACAAGGATTCCAGAGAGAAGCCGAACTCCTCCGTGGGAAACTGGAGAGAGAGAAGTGTCTGAGCAGGGAGCTGGAGCCCTCCTACCAGGCTGGTTTCTAGGAATAGGCCCCTTGCACCCCACCCTCCCCTGATGCATTTAGTCTGAGTCTAGTGAACATATCACAGAACCACAGCACAGTCTGGCACAACTGGCTACCTCTGCTCAGCGAAGTCCTAGGGCTGGGGTGGCAGGGGCTGCGGGTGGGTGTGAGGGACGCGCAGGGCTGGGGTGGCAGGGGCTGCGGGTGGGTGTGAGGGAATAGCAGGGCTGGGGTAACGGGGCTGCGGGTGGGTGTGGGATGCGCAGGGCTGGGGTGGCAGGGGCTGTGGGTGGGTGTGAGGGACGCGCAGGGCTGGGGTGGCAGGGGCTGTGGGTGGGTGTGAGGGATGCGCAGGGCTGGGGTGGCAGGGGCTGCGGGTGGGTGTGAGGGACG